TTTTGATTGAACTCGTTGGGTAAATCAAGCAATTGGACCAAACTGGCGAATGAACTCAATAGTTGAAGTCAGATTGGATTGGATTCAAAACATGGGCCAAATTTCATTTACAACTTCTCCATTCCAGGGCATCACCCTCGTCTTCTGCACTTTCACATTAACAGCGATCTCCGTCGATCGATATATGTTGATTCGACATTCGATGAAGAAACAATTGAATCAACATTGATGATCATTGCGGTGAGTTGGGCCGTAGATAGGCAAATATTTACAGTATTTACGGTATGTTGATTTGTATTGCATAACATGGTATAATATTTCTTTTATTGCCGTAGCTATTCAGAAAAACACAAAAAGATTGAAAATGATCAGAATGGAGAACTTGTTTTGCAGATAAAGGGATAAAAGTCCGTTAAAGTGAATCTCCACGTCCCGCTAGTGCCGGAGATCTGAAAGAGACTCGTCGTTGATATGGAAATTCTCATGTCGCAAGATAACGGTCATTCAATGATCACTATATTATGGGTTCACAAACTCCGCGAGGGAAATCTCACTTGGCCTTGCCATTGCCGATCCGGCTCTTCGTTATGCCAATTCGCAAAATCCACAGCACTTCCGTCTGTCCATCCGATAGCAAATTTTTTCCTCGGATTTCTCTGAAAAACCATTCTTATTCGATTTTGGCTATTATTTCCATTTCAAGTGTTTTTCAACTAAAATTCTTTATCGACACTTTCCTATTTTATTTCCTGGAAACTATTTCGCATATTCAGTTTGGGTGAATCAACCTGTAGTCCGATCCAGAATCCATTGCGTGAGTCGAGATCTTTTGCTGAAATCGTGGTATATTGATATCTTCAGTTGCCTCTATTTTCTCACCGAGTCCTCAAACGAAATCGTTCTCCTCCTGACTGTGAATTGACGCCAAATGGCCATTCCGTTCCACGCAAAACGCCTCAGCCTTATCATGTTCGAAATTTCGATCGATTGCCTGAAGTTTCTATTCAGGATTTCATGAAAAAGAAGCAAACCTTGTAGAAAGAATTCGTCAGCGGGAAATATGTCCAAGCAAGAAAAGTAATCCTTTGATTTCTGCAATTCATTGATTCAATTTGGATTTGTAGTTGCCTACGATATTTTCAAGTCAAGCTTTTGAGATTTAGCCAACACGTACAATATGCATTGCAAGAACTCACAAATCAGTCTCCAATTGTGTCGTTTTATTTGCTTTGACGGCGGAGAGCATAGATTTCCTGAAGGAGAATCGAATAAATTGGTTGGAATGGGTCTTGAGAATAGAATTAGTCAAAAAATTATCAAAACGATCCGAAAAACTATCAAAATGCTCAACTTTCAGCTCAGACTTACAATTCAGCGTTTCGGTCGACGTTTTCTTTCTTTCTTTTGCAGACAAATAGCCGCCGGACAGACGCATAGAGAGACCATTTCCCGCTGCTGCCATCATAAATCTGAAAGAAGAGAGCTCTTTTTCTTTTGTATCTACAGTATTTCACATAGCCGTGCGTGTCCGGATTCGTCTCGTTGGATGACCAATTCGTGAAATCCACAGCACTTCCATCGGTCCATTCCAAAGGATTTCCCACCTTACCGTTTCTTCGCTAAATAAAGTCTTCCTATTTTCGCATTTTAACTATTGATGGTCCAACCTTCAGTCCAATCCACAAGGTGCCCTCCTCACCAAAAACGTTGTTGGCCTTGACTGAAATTGAGAGAAATTTGTATCCCTGAAATTCTTTTCACTAAAAGTCACTAAAATAATCGTTTTTAATTTTTGAAATCTCAAGTCACAAGAAAAAATTCATTCGATTTCTCACCGAGTCCCAGAACGAAATCATTCTCTTCTTGGCTGTGAATCGATGCCAAATGGCCGTTTTGAGCCACACAAAATATGTGGGCTTTGTCGAATTTGAGTCGTTCATCGAATACCTTTTAGAAGTAGAAGAGCTTTTCTTAGCAAAACACACCAAACCTTGTACAAATGCTTGGTCTTTCCAAAATATGTCCAATTGCCGACTGTGAGAAAATTAATCGTTTGGTTTCTGAAATTATTTGAAAAATTCTCAAGAGCTCTTGTCCCAAAACTCACAGCTCTGCTATTTTCGTCGAGAATCTCGTTTCCATCAACGCCAACTCGGCCATTTTGTTGTTTCTTTCGAGTTCTCTGCCATGATTGATAGTTTATGAACGATAATTCATAGAAATCAAACTCACAACATTCGTTGACAATTCTCCAAACGAATTGCATCCGTGTGATTCTCACTGCTAAATCAAATTAAACGGGTAATCATTGTCAAGGGAAACTCGAATTCGAATGGATCCATTTTTTGTTGGATCGAAGATTGAGTGGAAAATAGAAAAATAATGATGAAGATGACCAAAAAATCCATTTCGATCGATTTGTTGGCGTTTCGCTTTCGGATTCGGACAAATCAGGAAAACGAATGATGAGATAAACAAATGAGTTTTTTTTGCAAAAGCTTTCGTTGACTCTCGAATTGTTTAGAAAAGAGTTCGCTTGACTCATCGAATGTGAGAACGATCGTTACGACAAACGTTTTGCCCGTTTGCTGGCCTTGAAAAATTTGTTGGTAAGGCTGGCTCTGTTAAACTTGAATCAAAAACCAAAACATTGTCTTTTTGGTTGAGAGCTTCCTGAAAGTTTATTTACTTCTTGGCTAAAAAACTCGTAATCACAAATTTGGATATTTGCCCAAAAGTTGAAAGAAACTTATTTTTGAACAAGTTTTTTCAAATTCAACAGTCTCCCAGCATAACTTTTTAATCAATTAGCTGAATATTTTATTGCTGTCGAATACAAATATATGAGAGCCAAAATGTTTGAAGGAATTTAGACCTTTTGACCTTTGCGCGATCTTCTTTATTTCAGAACTACACAGATTTCTCGATGATGGTTTTTTTCAAAATTAAGCTGTAGTTTTTCAATGCCGGAATTCCCCTTTATGGTCAAACAATGCAAGGCCTTGTTTTCTCAAGCATTAGTTTTCTGTTTCTTAATACTTTTATTGTTTTAATCAAGGGAGATGTGTTGACCCTTTTTGCTATTCTTTTTCAGATAATCAACTTTCTACAAGCGTTGGTTGTGATTGGTGGATTGTTCGTATGGAAGCCCAAGAAATTCGTAGTTCGGTGAGGTGTAAATTTTTTATCACAACTTGTATATCTTAGGAAACTCGCCTCGACGTTGCTGTTCTCCCGGATGTTCCCTTTCTTCGGGTACTAAATTACTTGTCAGGATTACAAATTGAAAAGTAGCTTTTTTGTTTTATAAAGTATCAATGATGATGCTTAGATGTCGGGGAATTTCGCGTCTCTTTCAACAACGTATTGATGTGAATCGGAAATCGCTGCCCACCGTACAAGTTTATTCTCTGACGATTGACCAGATGAAGGTCAACCCTGAACCTCTTACTAATAATCATAACGAGGTAGTTTCAAATGAAAATGCTTTTTTTAACTAGCCTTCTAGGTTGAACCAACTATCTTCATCGCTATTGAAAAAGATTGGAGCCGTATGAAGTATGGAGCTGCTCCATTGAGGCAGGCACTCGAAAGATTCAATCACATGTTTCCAGGAATGTCCATTAAAACTCTCCATTTGGTACGGCTTTCAAAATTTTGCGCTCAGAGTGTAGTGGAGTACAAACAAATGTAATGAAAACTTTTAGAAGCTTGAGTATTTCGACGTCGCCACGTTTCATCAATTGCTGAAGAAGTTGGAGGAATGCAAAGTGAAATGCCAAAATCTTTTGGTGACCACAGAGGGAAAAAAGTTCGATTGGAAGGATCTACGACTTGTGCTACTTCAGCTAGAACCAGAGAACTTCAAATTGGCGGTTTACTATCTTGTTTTTATTTCTCAACTAACCGGTTCAGATTCTTGGTGAAACTACCCTGTTGACGTCGTCGTTCTGGCAAGACAAATGCATTCGAGATCGTCGGGGGCTGGCGATTAGTGCGAGAAATTTGTCCTTTGATGACCAGGTCAGTGAAATTAAATATCCCTACTAAGCAACTGAAATTCATCTTTTATTAACAGTGGAGATTGGTAATCAACGATTAAATCAAATTGTTGCTTTGCTTTTAGGTGCTGTTGAATTTTGCCTCTCCGAATTTCATGCTGAGCTATGTGACTGCTTGTACATTTGCCGGAATCGCCTCATTTCTTAACGAATGGGGAGCTGGAATCCGAGAAGTGACAAAGATACGACTATTGGTTCGATCTGACCTGAACATCAGAGAGGTGAGTGAAAGAGCTAATTTTTGAGATGTTCTTGTTTAGTTCTTTGCCATGTTGTCTTGGAATGTCAAGTTTGAAACGAAGGTCGACAGCGATTGTTTCGATTTTTTAAACAATTTTATAGTTGTTAGGAATTCTCTCGGAAAGAAGCTCCACCTATGGATCGAACAAGAGGAGGCTATGGAATTTTGGTAAGTTCTTTTGGATTGAGTTGGAAAGCAGTATTCTTGTCGTTCAATGTGATACGAGAACCTTCTCTAAAAAGCGATTAACTAATCTTCTTTCAGTTTTGAGATGCTGGAGGACTACGACAACGACTACATCGGTTATTCGTGGGCCCCCATAGACGGTTGCGATTACGAGCAGGAGGTCTCTCGATTACGGTTGCGTAAAGCGGTTTCTTCATTGCCCAACACGCGGTTTCGCAAGTTTCGTGATGAAGAAATTTTGGAAACTTGGCCCATTAAAGAGCTGCTGAACTGAGAAATAATTTTTTAAACTCGATGGAAGCTCGAATTTGAATGTAGCTACTCTAAAATCTTATGAATCTGTACCATTGTTGTGATTTTGTGAGCTTTGATCAGGCATTTCAGTAAATAAAATTTTTGATACTGAATTGGATAATTTTTTAAACGACCTAATACAAAATTTATTCGAATTATCATGAACAGGTCTGCATCAAAAAAATCACAGGTTATTTTGCAGCGATCATTTTTGGCTATTCATCCCTTTTTTCGGCTTCGCCATTTTGCTTGATGAATACATATCGTTTTGAAGTTGGGTTTCCCTCGTCGTTGAAAGCCCTCTCGTATTGGGATTTCACTTTGCCGTGTCGCGAATATCTGTAAAAAAGAAGTCAAACAATTAATAATAATAATAACAAGTTGGGAATGAATGCAGAAATCCACTAAGAGAGGAATAAGCCTTATTGTTGCCTCATTGTTTATTACATTACTTTCTTTATGAAGTTTAACTACTTTAAGTTTAGTTTAACCGTTATTTTATTACTAATTTAGCACAAGTCAAACGGTGTTTTCCCTAACTTTTCCCTTTCTCTAGTTTTTTTTGTCTCTCAACAATCGGATTCCTTTCCTGCACTTTCGAAGAAAGTTTAAATTAAGAAATCAAGTCTCACTTTTTCTCGCGTTTAACCAATTTCTCCTCCAACTGGTAATCCTTTTCCGACGTGCAACCTTTCCTTGCCCGAGAAGCCATGGCATCAGCCTAAAAAGACACATGATCTGGCTCCACATTAAACCCTAACCATCTCGTTTCCCGCGTCGCCATTGTGGCTGTATACATGTTGAAAGAGGACTCCTCTCGGGTAATTTGATACCACCTTCTTGATCGAATCGATTCTGAAAAAAAGACCAAATTTGAAGATTTTAAGTATTCCAAACCCTTTACGAAGATCTTCTATTTTGAGCTTGTTACGTTTCTTCAGTCCCTGGATCGTGTTCATGCTGTCAGTACGGACGATAACATCCATATCGCTAGAAGAAAATGTTAAAAAATACAACAAGCTTAATTTATTCAGATAAGGCTAGATAGCTCTGCGATCCTATTTTAAAGCTTATATTTTAGTAGTTGCCAAATCTACAACTTATTAAGGTTCAGATCAAATGGTCCTTACGTGCTGCCAGGCAGTGCTGCCAACTTTTCGAGCGCAGTTTTTACAGCCACAATCTCGATGTAAGTCGCACAATCATCTTCGGGAATCCTTTTTTTGTTGGACAGTGTTGCTTTTTCTAGACCTTCAAGACGAACAGCACTAAAAGAGAGTGATCAAGGCAACTAATAAGAAACTCACAAGTTGAGTATGTTGCCTTCGCCAAAAAACCCGGCATAAGCTGAAGAGTCGACGGCTTCCCGAGGAACCCCAGCTTGAAAACTTCCGTCCGTATAGCACTAAAGTCAACTATATGTATAAAAGGCAATTGTCTGTGCGTGTGCAACGCCTTTCCGATAACAGGAAACCCAAACTTCAGAGAACTCTAGCTTTACGTAGACCAAAATACATAACATACCACAATCGTATTTTCGGGGAACGTCTCATTGAAAGCAGTGTCATCTTGATCTTTTCCATGTGCTTCATCGAATCCTAAACGAAAACAGTGTAGTATTCATCAGACATGTACAGATTCCGACCGGAACCTAAATTCACTTTCGTTTTCTTGGCCGTTCTTTGACCGATTGATCTGGAATCTTGTCTAAAGGTAGAGCCTGGCATTAACTACTTGTAAACAAAATTTTTGATCAATCGATCAAGAAGCAACCAAGAAAACGAAGGTGGAATTAGGTTCGGGACGGAATTTGCATATGTCTAGTATTCATGAAAAAGAGAATGTGCTAGATCGGATGCGTTTGTCTTACTAAAGAAAGAAAGAGTATCAAACCTACCATATTTGGTTGCTTCATAAGAGAAGTCGCTCGCCTTGAGATCCTATTCAAAAAATTTGCATACTTCAAAAAGAAACTCACAACTTCATCAGCTCCAGCTGAAAATAGAAAAAAAGGGAAATTTAGTAAACAAAAAAAACTCACGTCGAGTACCTCGAGCTTTACGTCGAGCTTCACGAATACCAAACACCCAATTCCAGAAAGCGCTGAAACAACCAGCCATTGAATACGACAAGCAAAAATAATCTGAATGAATTGATCTTTTGATTCATCTGACTTCTGCATGTAAATTCTCGGCTAACGTAAATTTTGAGTAGGCCTTTCAGGTCATGTATTTTTCTTTGCTGTAGAAATTTAGATTCTTATTATTTCTGATTTCTTATTTATATCTTCTGTTGTGACTACTAAAAGACAAGTTTGGATATGCCTGAATGCGCAACCCTCGACAACCTCAAATGGCGCTTTGCGTAAACTTTGAAAGCCGCACCAAGAGTAACTCTACAATAGTATAACAGATACGGGAAACCCTGAAATAAGCCAACTGATTCTTGTAATTTGGAAGACGATAAGTCGAAAACAGGCCAAAAAATCGGTATACAGATGAAGCGACTCTTAAGACCTATCGTGATCATTGTCACGGAATTCCCCCGTTCAGAGAGAGCTGAAAGACCGGATTGGAGCGTAATAGGGTGCCTAACTGTCGATAAACTTGGCCGAGAGATTGAATTAAATATTCACAGAACAGAAGCTAAAGATTCCAAAATTGATTTCACTTACCTCATCAAGCAATGATTATTGCGTGCATCCCGTAAGTTGTCTCGGAGTTTTTGATCAAGCCTCTAAAACAAAATTAATAGCAAAAAATAATTCAAAAAGGATTACAATTGCAATTTGTTCCGCAGCATTGTCTTTGGAAGCACGAATCACTGGCACCAAACCAAGAGTAGCACACATCTGATAAAAGTCCTTGATTGTTGTTGAAGAATTTTTACCGAAAAGAGACCATCCGCGATGGATTCAATCATAGATTCCATTTGAGCGTCGGATGTTGAAGGATCATTGATTGCTAAATTAATTCATATAAAAATGAAACGAAAAACAAACCATAATAGGACATGGGACTTGCTTCAGGGTATCTTTTCAATACAAAGAGATCGTCTTCCAGGGAAATGAAATTTAAATACTGATCCACTACCTAAACAAGAATGTTTCTAAAATAAACCCAAAATCAGAATTACCTTTTGCACTTGAGAGATCGCCCCACCATTGACCGCTGCCGTTGCAAGAATTTCTGGTCGTGGTCGGGATAATGGAGAAATGAAGTTGCGATAAAAGTTTTCATACAATCCCTAAAATCTTCTTGAAAAAGTATTCATGGGATAAAATCACCAGCTTCAGGTCATTGCAGAGAAGTTCCACGTTTTCATCATTTGGGGCGACAAAGTAAACGGCTGGCACGTCAGGCAATTGTTCACGTTTGGAGCCAACCAACCTAAAAGTGAAAAGTAGTTAAACTTCATAAAGAAATTAATGTAATAAACAATGAGGCAGTTCAATAAGGCTTATTCCTCTCTTAGTGGATCTCTGCATTCATTCCCAACTTGTTATTATTATTATTATTAATTGTTTGACTTCTTTTTTACAGATATTCGCTACACGGTAAATAATGCTTGAGAAAGAAGGCCTTGCATTGTTTGACCATAAAGGGGAACTCCGGCATTGAAAAACTACAGCTTAATTTTGAAAAAAACCATCATCGAGAAATCTGTGTAGTTCTGAAATAAAGAAGATCGCGCAAAGGTCAAAAGGTCTAAATTCCTTCAAACATTTTGGTTCTCATATATTTGTATTCGACAGCAATAAAATATTCAGCTAATTGATTAAAAGTCATGCTGGGAGACTGTTAATCGTTGTCGTACGTAAAAGCACCAAGGAACCACGAAGTTGAAGAAGTTTTTGATTTGCAACTATTCTCCGACCTGATTGCGATTGGGGTTTTTCTGCTTCAACGTTCCACATGCATTGCGGATGTATATTTGCTTTTTCAGAGTTCTGCATCTGCTGCTGGTAATACTGGTGATGGCGAAAAACAACAATCAAGGACTTTTATCAGATGTGTGCTACTCTTGGTTTGGTGCCAGTGATTCGTGCTTCCAAAGACAATGCTGCGGAACAAATTGCAATTGTAATCCTTTTTGAATTATTTTTTGCTATTAATTTTGTTTTAGAGGCTTGATCAAAAACTCCGAGACAACTTACGGGATGCACGCAATAATCTCTTCGCCTTTAAAAGTGTTCGAGCTGGGCAACTTAGTAGCTCTCGTCCTGTACTTATCATTGCGGATAGGTTTGTATTGAATTCTCAAATGCTTTAAAAAAGAGGTTTTTCAAGAATGCTTTATGTTCAGATCTGCGGATTTGGCAACAATGCTTCATCACACTTGGACAGATCAAGCTTTGGTTCATGATGTACTTGGGCTTGATCAGAATCGAGTCAGCATGCCGGACAAGGGCAAGAAGGTGGACTACGGTTTGCATTGTGGACACGATCGTCTTTGGACGCAGCATAAGGTAATGCATAATTCTATTTAAACATAAACTGATTTACTGTTAGGGGAAATGCTTTTCCGCTAGTCGCTGAAGCCATTCAAGGAGATTTGGTAACCTTCAATAGTTGCAAGCGAATGTTTTCTCCACTCTTTTCCTGTGTCAGGCTAATCTCCTTCAAATTACTGCCCCTCTTGCCTTAAATGAGCGGCAAGTGATGTGTTTTTTTGTAAGTCGTTAGGGGGGGGACAATCCTTCTTTCTTCTATTCGCCTCTTTTCGCGTGAAACTGATGAACCGCTTGGAAACGAACACCTCCAAAAGAAGCCGTTTTCACAGCCAATTTCCGTTGATTACTCTTGAAATTGTTTGGAATTGAATCGTTTTTTTTATTCATTTTCTTCATGGTTCATGTCTATCATATTAGAGTCACGCCAGAGCACAAAATCAAGGTAATCTTTGAAAAATAGTTCTCTAGACAAAATCAACTTTTGATTAACCTAACCTTTCTTTTCTATAGCTTTACGATTCTTTTCTTTTCTTTTCTTTTTTATAGCTATACATTTCTTTTCTTTTCTTTTCTTTTTTATAGCTTTACGATTCTTTTCAAAGTTTTCATAGAGTCTTTATGGTTATTTCTCTTTGCAGAACTTGTTTAATCTAATTGTTTAGCTTATTGTTTTAAATTTCTAAAACAATAGTGACATTGGGTAGAGATTCGTTTCCAGCTGCGAGAATAGGGAAGTGATCAGCTGAAACGAATTGAGGTGTGAGAAAGAAAGCGAAATGAAAAACGGAGAAAGAAGGCTGAAATCGCTCTCGTGTTGGTAAAGAGTGACCCATTTCCGATATCGGCATCCCCATATTTTGGGGTGCTTTCCTAAAGTGATAGAGAGGATCGCCTCCTTCATCCCCCCTTTCCTATCTTCTCAATCATCCTCGTTCTTCTCTCATTTCAGAAATAGCCAAGCCCTCCAGCTTTCGCGACTTGATCATTTCTCTTCACAAGAAAGATGTTCCGGCATGGTCGATCCGTCAACGACTGAGAGTGAAAAAACAGCTTGTTTTGCGAACATACAAACGTTTTAAGTCTCTTGGAACAAATCAGGATTGAAAGGGACGTGGAACTTCGGCTGTTAAGAGCTTTCAAGAAAAACAAGTGTCACGGAATTACCGATGCTGCAAAAATTAAGAGAGAGCAGCGTCGTGCTCAACTTCTTGCTCGGTTTCCTGGACAAGCTCACCGAAGGATTCTTTTCACCGATGAGAAAGTTTTTACGGTCTAGCAAGTGTTGAACAAGCAAAATGATCGAATTTACGGCATTTCTGATCCACACAAAGCAGTTTCGCATTCTCTTCATCCGACCTGGGTGATGGTTTTTGCTGGAATCACTTACGACGGAAAAACTCCCTTAATCTTCGTTCCTGATGGTGTCAAGATCAATGCGAATAATTATTTGGATGTCGTGAAAAATGAAGCTTTACCATGGAGCAAAAATCATTTTGGACGAAAAAGATGAAGGTATCAACAAGACGGAGCTCCGGCCCATAAAGCCCGTTCAATTCAGGATTGATGTGACAAGAATTTTCCAGACTTTATCGGATCCAACGAATGGCCACCAATGTCGCCTGACCTAAATCCTCTCGACTACAGCGTCTGGGCCGTATTAGAAGCTAAGGCTTGTCAAAAACCGCACAAAACTCTTGATTCTTTGAAGAACGCTCTTCAAAAAGCATGGGATGAATTGGATCTCTCCTACTTGCGTGCCACGGTCGACAACTTTCCGAAGCGCCTTCAGCTGTGTCAACGCGAAAGGAGGAGATATCCAATAATTGTTGTTTTCCCATTACTTTACTATCCAAATTTGTCAAAGATAAAAGTTTCATTACAAGTTTTATACTAAAAAAAGTTTTTTCAAGCTAGTTATCCGGTATCAGTAATTTTGGAACACCCTGTAAATTGCCTAAGACATCCAGCGCTATTAGTTAGCCAAAGAAAATGAGACCAGTTATGTTGATTTTTATTGCACAACAGGGTATACTATCTCTTTTATTGCCGGAGCTATTCAGAAAAACACAACAAGATTGAAAATGATCAGAATGGAGAGCTTGTTTTGCAGATAAAGGGATAAAAATCCGTTGAAGTGAATCTCCACGTTCCGCTAGTGCCAGAGATCTGAAAAAGACTCGTCGTTGATATGGAAATTCTCATGTCACAAGATAACAGTCATTCAATGATCACTATATTATGAGTTCACAAACTCCGCGAGGGAAATCTCACTTGGCCTTGCCATTGCCGGTCCGGCTCTTCGTTATGCCAATTCGCAAAATCCACAGCACTTCCGTCTGTCCATTCGATAGCAAATTTTTTTCTCGGATTTCTCTGAAAAACCATTCTTATTCGATTTTGGCTATTATTTCCATTTCAAGTTTTTTTCAAGCAAAATTCTTCGTCGACACTTTCCTATTTTATTTCCTGGAAACTATTTCGCATATTTAGTTGAATCAACCTGTAGTCCGATCCAGAATCCATTGCGTGAGTCGAGATCTTTTGCTGAAATCGTGGTATATTGATATCTTCAGTTGCCTCTATTTTCTGACCGAGTCCCCAAACGAAATCGTTCTCCTCCTGACTGTGAATTGACGCCAAATGGCCATTCCGTTCCACACAAAACGCCTCAGCCTTATCATGTTCGAAATTTCGATCGATTGCCTGAAGTTTCTATTCCTTTCTATTCTTTTTTCTATTCTAAACCTTGTAGAAAGAATTCGTCATCGGGAAATATGTCCAAGCAAGAAAAGTAATCCTTTGATTTCTGCAATTCATTGATTAGATTTGGATTTGCAGTTGCCTACGATATTTTCAAGTAAAGCTTTTGAGAGTTAACCAACACGTACAATATGCATCGCAAGAACTCACAAATCAGTCTCCAATTGTGTCGTTTTATTTGCTTTGACGGCGGAGAGCATGGATTTCCTGAAGGAGACTCGAATAAATTGGGTGGAATGCGTCTTGAGAATAGAATTAGTCAAAAAATTATCAAAACGATCCGAAAAATTATCAAAATGCTCAACGTTCAGCTCAGACTTACAATTCAGCGTTTCGGTCGAAGTTTTCTTTCTTTCTTTTGCAGACAAATAGCCGCCGGACAGACGCATAGAGAGACCATTTCCCGCTGCTGCCATCATAAATCTGAAAGAAGAGAGCTCTGTTTCTCTTGTATCTACAGTATTTCACATAGCCGTGCGTGTCCGGATTCGTCTCGTTGGATGACCAATTCGTGAAATCCACAGCACTTCCATCGGTCCATTCCAAAGGATTTCCCACTTTACCGTTTCTTCGCTAAATAAAGTCTTTCTAATTTCGCATTTAAATTATTGATGGTCCAACCTTCAGTCCAATCCACAAGGTGCTCTCCTCACCAAAAACGTTGTTGGCCTTGACTGAAATTGAGAGGAATTTGTATCCCTGAAATTCTTTTCACTAAAAGTCACTAAAATAATCCTTTTTAATTTTTGAAATCTCAAGTCTCAAGAGAAAATTCGTTCGATTTCTCACCGAGTCCCAGAACGAAATCATTCTCTTCTTGGCTGTGAATCGATGCCAAATGGCCGTTTTGAGCCACACAAAATACTTGGGCTTCGTCGAATTCGAGCCGTTCATCGAATACCTTTTAGCAGTAGAAGAGCTTTCCCTAGCAAAACACCTCAAACCTTGTACAAATGCTTGGTCTTTCCAAAATATGTCCAATTGCCTACTGTCAGAAAATTAATCGTTTGGTTTCTGAAATTATTTGAAGAATTCTCAAGAGCTCTTGTCCCAAAACTCACAACTCTGCTATTTTCGTCGAGAACCTCGTTCCCATCAACGCCAACTCGACCATTTTGTTGTTTCTTTCGAGTTCTCTGCCATGATTGATAGTTTATGAACGATAATTTATAGAAATCAAACTCACAACATTCGTTGACAAGTCTCCAAACGAATTGCATCCGTGTGATTCTCACTGCTAAATCAAATTAAACCGGGGAATTGATTGTCAAGGGAAACTCGAATTCGAATGGATCGATGTTTTGTTGGATCGAAGATTGAGTGAAAAATAGAAGAATAATGATGAAGATGACCAGAAAACCCATTTCGATCGATTTGTTGGCGTTTCGCTTTCGAATTCGGACAAATCAGGGAAGCGAATGATGAGATAAACAAATGAGTTTTTTGCAAAAGCTTTCGCTGACTCTCGAATTGTTTAGAAAAGAGTTCGCTTGACTCCATCGAGTGTGGAAACGATCGTTACGCCAAAAATTGTTCTGCTGAAAAGTTGAGCTTATTTGCCGAGTCGACTAGAGATTGTTTTGGACACATCACGAGGGCCACCTAGAAATCATTTTATAAGGTTTCAGCTTGATTCTGTAAGTGTTCACAGAAAAGTTTCTCTGAATCACCCAAAGTGATCCCAAAAGCGAGAAAAGAAATGAATGGTTTGAAGATCTAACTGTCTATCAGTTACCATTCAGTTACCCGGACCTCGAGGATGAGAGGAGAAAATCAAGAGACGCTCATTATTCGAGTCGAGTCGAGCCAGTGTAGACAGGAGAACGGAGCCGTCTGCTCGATTTCATTAAGGAGGCCACACTGATTATGGCCGAGTGTGAAGAGATTCAGTGATCAGAAGAGACATGAGAGCGGACAAACCACGACATGATAGCCACTGTGGGCATCCTCTATTCGTTCCATATATGCACCAATTATCGGTTCATCGACTCCTTCAGTGGCTTTGCTTTTGAAAAGAGCTTCTTTTTACCAACCATTGATCTCCATGTAAAAAGGCGGCAAAATTGTAGAATTCACGGCAAATTCCCCTCATTCGGACCCATTTCTCGTTCAGATACGGAACAATTTTAATTGAATATTCACGCATTTTCAGCGAGTATTCTTCCACTTTTGCCATTCCTGTTATTGTTAAAAGAAGAGCTTCAACATCAGCCAGTGAAATGTAGCGTGGCTTGTTATAACAATTGTTGATATCAGTTTCGATCGACATTGAGGCCAGTGAATCTTGGCTCGGGATCCCATTTTCGACAAACCAAAGGGATCCCCTGTACCTTCTGTAAAAAGGGGACCTGATCAAAACAGCGCCAACAAAATAGCGCCCATGTGCAGACAGTGCCCAACGAAACAGCACCCTTGTACAAACAGCGCCAAAATCAAAAATTGTGTTCTTTTTCGAATTAGATTCAGTTTTTTTCAGCTTTCACAGGTTTCTTGTTTTTTCAAGTAAAAAACACTTTTATACGCCTGCGGTTGACAAGTGCTTAATATGTCCTATAAAACTAGATTTTGTAGAGAATTTGACCAGAAAATGTGGGATTTGTTGTTTTTCGTTTGCCAGAACCAAAACCAGAAGCAGAATCAATCAGAATCAATCAATATGGGAATAGCGTGAAGAGAAGAATTACGTACATACTATTTAGATCTCCACTTTGAATTCCCGACACTTTAGTACAGTTCCATTTTGAGTTCAGCTTTTCATCTGATGAGAAATAAGCGGCTCTGATTTTTGGAAATTTATCGTCTCTGAGTCAAAGCCTTGTCACTGAAATTGGCTCCGAAAAGTGAAACAAAGCCGAGCTGACCCCTTATCTTCTTTTTCATTCACTTCATTCAATCAATATGAAAAGAAACAGATAAGGCTTTTGTTCAATTCTTTTACGAAACTTTTCTTCACAACACATTATTGCAGGCTTGAGGAAATCTTCTAAGAATGTTAAAACTAGATCTAACAATCTTCAATATAATAATTTTTCACATTCTGACAAGTCAATATAATAATCTATCTTCATATCTATTATCCATATCATTGCTGAGCCTGTAGTATTATTATGCCAAAGTTTTTTGCTCTTCATTTTAACTATAAACTTTAATTTATTCTCAAATTATTTTTATTGCCAGGGACATTTGCAGTTTTAGCGATAAACTATGACAACAAACCAGCGATTCAAAGAACGATTTATTGGTCGAGGAGCAATGGGGGAGGTGTATGAATTGGAGGGACACAAACCGTTGGTTATTTTATTGAAAAATACAGTGTCTAAAAGAAAAAAGGCTGTATTATACATACACATGAGATGATAACAAATAATATGTTCTTTATTGTCGTTTAACACATTCGCGAAAAAGGGACCCACCTTTCAGGTCCTCAGGTACCCATCAAGTACTCTACAACTTTTGGTAGCTTTCATTTTCAAATTCTCTCAACTATGTAAACTCATATATGTTTTGTGGCAATGGTGAGCAATTGAGGATCTTCAAAAATGAATGTGAAGCATTGAAGGCCGTTGTAGTGAGAATGCTATATACAGAAGAGAATGGAAGGGAGTTGGGAATTGTAATGGAATACTGCCAGAGGGGATCACTCCGAGATGGTTCAGATTCAAAATATATTGTTATAGTTTACAGTTTAGAAATCTTCAACCCAACAATCAGCTATTCAATGAACACTGTTCTCACCTGGGGTATTCAATTATTTAAGGCCATTGATCACATGTATCAGGAACACAAATTGGTGCATCGAGATATCAAACCAGACAAGTGATATTCAGTGGTATAAATCTCGAGATTGAATTCATTTATAGCATTTTTGTGACCAACGAATATCAGCTGAAGATTGGTGACTTCGGATTGATAAAAGTAGTGGAAGATGGAACTGTTACGGGGACGTTTATTGGAACACAACGATATATGAGTCCACTTGAAATAAAGGAGGATGGGGTACAACGGGATGTTTATGAACAAATAAAGGAGGCTGATGTATCGGTTAGTTTTACATTCATTTCTATGCAATGATAAGATATATTCATTCCAGAATTCACATCGAAATGATGTCTACAGTCTGGGACTTGTTATGTGGGAAATCATCGAAAGGAGGTATTCATGTTTGCATATTGATCTCATTTGAAATATAACCAAGACTTCAAAACAATATTTTCATTGTTTCAGAACAATTTTCGCAAACTATGGGAGAACTGGAGAGTTTGATCGTGACCAATTATTGTTTGACATTGCACTAAAACGTGTTACTGAAATCGAATCACCTGAATGTCAATCAGAAATTGAGAAAATTATCTTGAGGTTTGGATTTAAGAATTTCTTTTAGGCACTCATTCTTTCTTTTTTCACCGTTGCTTGTACATTTGTGAATTTTACAAACTTTGGTTTTTTTGCGTTTATTAATAACATATAAATGAGAATAATAAATTTATTTGACTGTGGATGTAAATGAATATCTACAGAACGAAAAACAAACAGAAATCCGTTTAAAAGTCAGAAAATGATGGAAAAACTAAAACTAAGTAGTCAGGAGGTTTGGAAACATTAAACACGGTCATGTTTAGATTTTTAGAATAAGTTTGAAAATGTTTATGAAAATTATAAAAGTTTCACTCAAATTCGGCAAAACCTTTTGGTGAAAATCTGATTTCTCTTATTTGTGTGTGCTAATCTGAAAATTGCATTTATTACTGACAGGCGGCAGAATATACGTTTTATGCTGGGTTTTGGGAACATTTCAATGTTCTATTTGAATAAATCCTTGATTCATTCGAAGAAAAAAGAAAGAAGTGGCATAAATCGAATCGAATCGAAAAGATCGAATTCAAGAATTGGACCAGCAAAATAAAAACTAGGGAAATTGGGAAGTCGGGAAGACTAGGGTTAGGATACAGAGCAAGAAACCTTTTTTCTTCGTCTTTCTTTTTTAGTAACTTTTTTATCTTCAGCTACTAAGTCTAGCTTCTCCTGTTGGTCAGTGAATTGGAAGCCGAATCCGGCCACATTCTCCACACCAGCCATTCTGTTATTGGATTCCCTTGATAATCAATCAAACGGATGTTCGATCCATAATTCTTGATCAAAGCATAGATCCGTTTATTGAACTTTGAATCCTGAAAGTATTCTCTTAATACTCCAACACCAATATGATACAATTTTTTCTTGAAATCCAATCCAGGAATACTTTCCCCGTTTTCATAATTATTTGGATGATCCAAGAGAAACAAAAATGGAATATCTAAGAGATTTTGACAGCAAAGAAATAGAAATCGATGTTCCATGGGATCAAAAGTCAGATCTCTTTTAGATTTTATACAATCCAGGTAACTGTATAGAAACAAAGCCTCATTTTCCTTGATTTCACCACATACTGGAATGTGCAATTCTTTAGGTAACTCTGAATATCCTTTTATTTTTCTAAATCCATCCATTTGACATTTCCCGAATGTTTCTTTTGACAAATTGGACGAGGAGGATTTCTTAATTGAAATATGTAGTGGGGGAAGGGATGGGGCCCATAATATCTTTTAGATTCAGAAGATTCATCGAAAAGTGATTCAATATTAAATGGAACATTATTCTTCTCCGAATCTTCTATTGGAATCAGATATTTCAAGTGTAATTTTATGATCGTTTCCATTCGTGTTTGTTGTTTTTTAAATGCCTCCACTAATTGTTCAAGAGGGATTTGTTTGTAACGCGAGAAATGAAGCATTTCATGTTTATTTGCCCCATTTTCAATTTCATAGCTCCTGATTTCAGCTCTTGGATTGTCTACCCATTGTCCTGGTATTTGTTTCCATAAGCTGAAGTCTTCACTTACAAACCAATTCTTTTCTATCTGAATCCATCCCTTACCAGTCAATTGAGAAATAAAACATCGAAAATAGAAAGTTGTTGTGTATTTCTTTCTTTTTATGTCTTTCAAACTGTTCATCCAATACTCACACAGCCGCCAATTGTCAAAAATTGAGATCCAAATCTCTTCGTGACTTTTAAGATATTTAAATCTTTGGTTTTCTTTCCGTAGCTGTTCTTGAAAATCTCCCAAAACAAACAATTCAAATATTTTATAAATATCCTTTTCATGTAGATTTCCCTTCTTTCTTTCTATCTCCAATATTTCCCAAATCACA